GTGTTTTGTTTAATATGCATGTGCTTTCTTAAATTGCAGCATGTTAAGCTCTCTCAGCCACCGTACTCAAGTGCTTCCACACCTTTGAGCAGAGGTGGAAAGAGTACTGAAAAATTAAACTCAAGTAAAAGCACCATTACTTGACTAAAAATGTAGTGTAGAGTAAAAGTATCTCTTGTAAACATTACTCAAAGTATGAGTAAAAAGTAGCCCTTTCAAAAGTACTCATGAGTAGGTATCAGAATTTCACGGTACGGTAATACCTCGGTATGAATGTCACGGTACGGTATTTATTGAATCATTTACAGGAAAAAACAAAACTTATGACAATACTCCAAAAAAGTGCCAAAAGTGTCAATGACATACAAATTAGCCATCTATCTGTAAGCTTTAAAACAGGAACTTCAATTTTAATAACAAAAAAATATTAAACCATGTAAAAAAAAAAAAAATTCAATTTAGTAGTGTTGAAAACTCATCACATTCAACATTTAATCACTCACTCACTTAGATAGAGATGGGTTTAAAGGAAAATTATCATATAAATATAATCTGGTAAAAGCTGGTATCTCTGGGTATTTACAATGTCCCCTGCAACAGAAAAAAATCCTCTCATTTGGGACTGAGGTTTCTGGGACAGAGAGATATGACTTGGCCCAGGTTGACAGCAGTGGGTAACGTTGTGCATTGTCTTTCCCCCACTTGAGAGGACAAACCATGAGAGAGATAGAGATCTCATGTCTGCATCAATCTGAACAGTGTGCTGACAACACCGCTATTCAGTACGCGCGCGACAACACAGCTGATAAGAACTCGCGCGACAACACAGCTGATAAGAACTCGCGCGACAACACCGCTATTCAGTACGCGTGCGGCGACAACACCCGCTTTAGAGTTTTCCAGCTCTTTTTCATCCCCGCTTCTAGCAGCACACTCCATTTCCGCATTACTGGATCTGTAGCGACAACAGACCGCAAGGGATGATGGCCACCCCTGGGCTGATGGGAATTGTAGTTTTCGCTACCTCCCGTTCGCTTCATTCGCCTGAGCAAATGTTCTCAGAAGACCTATAGTTTTACCGAGTCATGCGACTACGGTAATATCGAAAAAAATTTATATTGCGGTATGACGGTATTTACAATACCGTTACATCCCTAGTAGTGAGTGATTAGTGGATGTGTTTGCAAACGTAACTTTCTATAGTGCATTTATTGGCTATCTATTGAGTCAAAGCGATGTCACCAAAGGAACACCCTTGCTCTATTTTTGGATGAAGGCTTAGAGTGCTTTCACACTAACTCTTTTGGTCCGCACACGAGTTCGTTTGACGTCATAGTACGGTACGTTTAGCTAGTGTGAATGCGTCTTCTGAACCCAGGTGCGGACCCGTGAAGTGTACCCGAGTCCGCCTGAAAGAGGTGGTCTGGGGTACGGGTTATGCGAACTCTGGTATCACTGGTTCACTTCAGATGTGAATGCAATCGTGCCAAATAACGGAAGTGAACTATAGTAAACCGCCAACTGTACAACAAACTATTGTTTTCATAACGTTCGTTTGTTCATGTGTGTGTCTTGTTTCGTACCTTGGTGACACGCGCGGGACTGAGCCAGGGCAAACACAGTGATGTCTGCTTGTCTCCTCCAAAAACAGCTCCTGCAGACACTGTGTGATGTTCTGAATGTGCGTAATATTTTTGCGGCAGATGAACGCAAGTCGCTTTCTGTATGTCCAAAAGCTTTCAGTAAAAGCAGAATGACCGCGATGTGCGGGAGTCTTTCCATTTCGGCGCTTGCTTGCGTGGCCGTCACCTAGCAACGGCCGTAAACAAAACAGCAGCTCGAGCGTACCGGGGTTCAGAAGGAAAATAGACAGTGTGAACACAAACCAACCAAGGAGGTGGCAGGGGGAGACAATCGAACTTGGGTACGGTCCAGGCAAATGAACCAAGTGTGAAAGCATCCTTATTAGGCTCAACACAAGAGCCTTTATCGTCTTCCTGTGAATGAGCTACAGAGATTTTACATTTAGCGTCCAATTGCACTGAACACGCAGTGAATGCATTGTATCGAGATTCGGGGCATTGAAAACAGCTGATCTACCGAGTCTTCAGCACTCTGTCCGAAAACACTGGATTGATCTTGGCTGGCGGATCAACATTCACCACATGATCGCTCCCATCGGCGGCATTAATTTGTAACTTTAGGTGGGTTTGCAAATCTGTGGACTTTTCATTGCGTCTTTCTTAAACATCAGCCGTTTGCATTTCCCGCAGCCACTGAAGCTCCCTATCATCTCAATTAGGTGCGGCTGGAAAGTGCGAGCGCGTTGCCTCACGTGCGCATCTCTCCATTGGAAATAACGAACTTGCCGTGGTTATAGCCTCAGTCAAAGTTAATCCAGTGTGCGTGGTTATTAGTCTCGGTGTACAAGCTCGGAACTTTAAACTAGCTCACAGTTGGCACAACTTTGTTTAGTTGCCGCAGTTTTGTTCCGTTCAGAAACACAGTTTTGAGAAGCCTTCACGATTAATTAACCGTGACGAATTTAAATGTTGTTAGTGAAACCGGTTAATCATTACATCCCTGTACAGATGACACATACATCTTTACACAGCGGCTGTAAAACTATACAAAGACACAAATGATTTTGTAACCATAAGTCTGACACATTCGGAAACATTAGGAATATTGATACCTTAATAGTACTCTCTGCTTGGTCTGTGTCACAGTCCAGGTCGTACATGTACAGCTGAATGCTGGTCCTCTCACTCATGTAGCTTCTCTCTGTCTGCCTGTCTGTTGCCATACACGAAGCAGGGGAGCTCTTGGCTCCGCCCCCTTGTTAAGTTGGGCGGGAATTCGAAACTAATTTTCATGTGAAGCAACACGCCCCTAAAACAACAACATTTGTACACGCCCCCAACATAACACTTTTAACACAATAAAAAATCTGAACTGTGTTTTGAACTGAACCTAAACTGGCGCACTCAGAAGAACCATAATATTCATATTACATCTTTAAAAAGGGGTCAAATAGGTGCCCTTTAAAACATGTGCTTGTTTGTTATAAACATTAATAATAATGACAAAAAAATGCTAATTTGTGCACCTCATTACTTCCGTGTGCAGTAGTACTGCCGTTGTAGATGATGTATTCTAGGAAATTGTCTTACTACTTGGTTTCGAGTGTGGTCCTGAAAAATCTCAGTTTCAAGGGCTAACTAGCCCTTCCCCATAGCCCTAATCCTTCAAGCTAGGCCTAATTTTTTGTTATCTATTTCACAATAGGCTGCCTTCATTAAGTGACAGTAAGAGGGCGTCCCAGAGCCAGTCTTTAAAAGGAGTGTGCATTGATGAAGACAGCGGTGAGGTAAGGTTCATAAACAATCCTGATGTGTAGGGATGCAACGAAAAGGAAAATTCTGGGCATAAACCGAAGATTTTGAATATGCTTTAATTTAATTTATATTGATTTAATTTAATTCATATTTATTTAATTTATATTGATTTAATTAAAACATTGTTTAGTTAGTTTAGTTACTTAGCTAGCTTTAGTAAGTTAAATGATCTAATTTTATAAGATTTTTTAAATTTAATTCAGTAACTTTATTTATACTCTTTACAACACACACACTCACACACACACAGACACACACACATAAGCCAGTAAAATTATCACGAAACCGATCATTTTTGGTGGCTGAAAATTGTGTGCATCACTACTAAATGTATTGTAATTGTTCCCAAGTTGATCTTTGCCTTCTGTTCTTCTCTCAGGATGAGTTTGATCCATTCAAGGGCTCAAGAAAACAGCGCAGATGAGGACGGACTTCCAGCTGCTTATCTACTTTTTCTTAATGAAAATTTAATAAAACCGATTTTTCTTTTTCCTTTTAGTCTACAAGAATCTTTGCAGCGATTTGAGTAGGTTCAAGGTTCAAATCCCTAAAGTTGCTTTAAAGTCATTGTTGAGTGATGTACATTGAAAACTGATGTCTTTTAAACTATTTTTTTAGGATTTATTTGATCATTATTACTGTTCATGTCTGTTTTTAAGTCATAAAAGCGATGAACCTGTCACTTTTCTTCTCATGTGTTTATTCATAGAACATTGCAGGTGGCAATTTATGGAAAGGTATGTGTATGAAAGTTTGATTTATGAAGTGTTATGTGTTATGTGATAGCAAAATACTGCATGTGTGTTTGTTTCTCAACAAATGTATTTTTATTGCACAGTACTGCAATATTAACACTCACCGGCCACTTTATTAGGTACACCTCACTAGTGCTGGGTTGGACCCCCTTTTGCCTTTAGAGCTGCCTTTATCCTTCATGGCAGAGATTCAACAAGGCACTGGAAATATTCCTCAGAGATTTTGCTCCATATTGACATGATAGCATCACGCAGTTGCTGCACATCCATGATGTGAATCTCTCATTCCACCACATCCCAAAGGTGCTCAGTTGGATTGAGATCTGCTGACTGTGGAGGCCATTTGAATACAGTGAACTCATTGTCATGACCTTGTCATGTTCTAGAAAACAGTCTGAGATGATTCGCGCTTTATGACGTGGTGCGTTATCCTGCTGGAAGTAGCAGACACAAGATGAGACACTGCTCATAAAGGAATGGACATGGTCAGCAACAATACTTAGTTGGTACTAATGGACCCAAAGTGTGCCAAGAAAACATCCCCCATACCATTACACCACAACCAGCCTGAACTGCTTATACAAAGCAGGATGGATCCATGCTTTCATGTTGTTGATGCCAAATTTTGACCCGACCATCTGAATGTGGCAGCAGAAATCTAGACTTAACAGATCAGGCAACGTTTCTCCAATCTTCTATTGTCCAGTTTTGGTGAGCCTGTGTGAATTGTAGCCTCAGTTTCCTGTTCTTAGCTGACAGGAGCAGCACCCGGTGTGATACACACATTTTGGTTTATTTAATCCTAAAAGGAAAAGCCATAGTAACAGTGAAGACAGGAAACTGCAGT